AAGGCTAAGCACTGTTTCTAAGCTGAATGGTTTAGCCTAAAGCCACGCACATAAGTATAAACCGAGTATAACAGAAAATACTTCATTTATATTTGCATGTGAACTGACAGTTGGACATTGTTTCTAAGTTGAATGGTCCAACGCTTAAGCCATATCACTAAAAAGAGAGGGGAAACCACATAATAATATAATTGGAAGTAATCTGGGCAAGTTGAGCATTGTTTCCAAGCCGAACGGCTCAGATCCCTACCCATATTTTTATTTCTTTTTGAGAACAAACTCGTAAATTATTAAATTTTGAATATTAAACAGTTCAGGACGACTAAATATTGTTTCTAAGCTGAATGGTCTAGTCATATGCCCAAAAGAAGAGAAAAGTAGTTGTGCAACCTGTTCGTGTATATCCTAAGGCATGCTAAACAATGTTTCTAAGCTGAATGGTCTAGAATCATGCCATATGTAAGTTGGGTATAAGGGATAAATCGTCTGAGGGTTTCATGAACTAATTTATCATGATTTGACTTGGGGACTGGTGGGAGTACTTACCAATGTGGTTTGGCCTTTCATGTGGCTGAGTGAGATCACTACTTAGTCCGAGTTTCAATTTGACAGGTAGTTGCTTCAGTTGCCCGCTACATGCTAGAGCCATAGGAGTTAGTTCAATTCCTACATTTTTTTAGCTAAGTTTTTTACTTAGGTCAATTTTCGCATTTTGTGGGATTTTTTGTTATACTTGGTCTTGTATAAATCTTGGTAAAGTACTTTCTCTACGTGAAGCGCTGTCGAAATTTCTACAAAACCAAGAAGATGGTTAAAATTTGACTTTTCAAAGTTCAACTTAGAAGTTTTGTATATGGTTTAGTAAAAATTTGGAAAGTCTCCTTTTTTAAAGGGAGTGTTGCCCAATGTCTTGTTAATTCAGGGAGTTAGACAAAATTTGGACCTTGAAAAGTCTAAAGTTATTTTTCGAAACTTAGTTTTTTTGTATAAATTTTGGAAAGCTACTTTCCCTACGGGAAACACTGTCGAAATTTTTACAAAGCTAAGGAGTTAGTTAAATTTGGTCTTAAATGAACTCAAGTCTTCCTTTGAGTTCTAACTTGACTTAGTATAAATATGAGAAGTATACTTATCTAAAGAAGATGTTGCCCAAATTTTTACTAATTCAAGGAGTTAGACAAAATTTAACTTTTTAGAGTTAAAGATTATTTCACTTTTCGTATGCGAGCTAATATAAATTCTAGAAAGACACTTTTCCTGCGGGAAGCGTTGCCAAAATTTTCTTAGTTTAGAGGAGTTAGATTATATTTTGACAGGTGGCGATTCTGACGATCCGTCCTTAAAAAGGGAGATTCTGCCAAAGATCTACCTTTTCATTAGACACAATTTAGGGGTTGACCTAGACTTAGTTGGCAGTTAGCTTTGTTGGCAGTTAGCTTTGAGTGAGAATGTGTTATGGAGGTTTATCCCCCGTACACTGATAATTAGCTTGGGGATTGACCTGTCTTGTGGTACAGGTTTTTTTTTATCGTTCGGATTCAAGATTTGGACTAGTTCAACTTGATCCCACAATGATCATCTCATCATTGATAACAGGTCGGTTGCCGATTCGTCGGTTTACGACTCGACTCCAATCCACTCTCGTTACCCAACTTGAAGGTTTTAACCGTGGTGGTTTTTATTGTTTTATTAAGGTTTTTCACCCAGACTTTTATTGAATGGTCATTTAACAAAGGTACTGAGTATTTATTTTGGGGAGGTTGGGCGAAGGTTGGGGCTTGCATGGCTAAAGCAAGGGGTATGAGTATAGATAGTGGTTGAAGTTGACCCCGTGTAGTGCGTGGATTTTTTGGTTGAATCTTTGATGTGATGGCAGGTATGTTTGTGGTTCGGACTTTGGATTTGACTGTCTGCGATCACATACATATATATGACTGAGAGGAGTCACACTGTGACTGTGAGAAGTGATCGTCACGTATTCATAACCCTTTATATATATATATACATACATGTGAACCGACAGTCTGTAGAGTTTTTCATCTGGTGTGGGTGAGTGATAGTCTACTTTGATATTGGTTAAGGTGGATTATCACTTACAGTGTAATCAGTGAGGGGATTCTACAGACTGTTGAGGGTTCAGCCTCCTGATGAGTCGGTGAAACTCCGACGAAACAGTTTGTCACAACCCGTCGTTTGTTGTCCTCTTCTCCCTCTCTGCCTACGGTTTACCGGGCAGTTCTATTTGACGATATATACTACGACTTCGCTAGCTTCCTGCTACGGTTTTCTCCGGTCTGGTCCAGCGGCAGTCGTCGGGGCTGTCACTANTCTACAGACTGTTGAGGGTTCAGCCTCCTGATGAGTCGGTGAAACTCCGACGAAACAGTTTGTCACAGCCCCTCGTTTGTTGTCCTCTTCTCCCTCTCTGCCTACGGTTTACCGGGCAGTTCTATTTGACGATATATACATACGTGCACATTGAGTGTTCGTGCGACTTATTGTGACTATGCGCAAAGGGTAATTAGATTATGAGTTGAGAGAAAAAGGAGATCCCCTTTTATTTGTTTTTTAAGAGTTTTACAGTTGGACGTTGTAGTCCGTGGCAACCGTCAAAGTCAAAACCCTGGAGTTATCTTCAGACCCTGGATGATGGAGCTGGTCTCCAGGGCAATAGGAGACGATTGCCACCACAGGTATGAACCTATGTACCACCCACTCTCCGAAGGGTGCAGAAGAGGGTGTGGTTCTCAACCGCACTTAGCGGTTGTCTAGCGTCGAGAGATTAACCCCTCAAGGCGCGTGTCAGCCGACACTTGAGTGTCAAACGCGACCCTCGAGATTATCGAGGACCGCGTGATTAAGGGTACTACATAGTACGCCGTCGTTGCGACCGCTTGCGTAAGCATGCATTAAGGGTACTACATAGTGCGCCATCGTTGCGACCGCTTGCGTAAGCATGCATTGCTAGTCGATATGAGAAGGTCCTCTGTCCGCGCGATTTTATACTAAGTCTCGCGCGCGACGCCTATCCGATTTCCGCGTCGGAAAGTTATGGGATGGCTAATGAAGGGACTAGGATTGTTTGTTTTGTTTTGTTTTATGTTGTTTCGTTTGTGTGTGTGTGTTTTATTTTTATGTTTTAAGTGTGGTATAACGCGTGGTGAGTGGAATGCATCCTAGTCGACCGACGACGAGTCGCGCTTGGGACTTCAGCCCCCCAGTGCGTCGGTTCGCGCCCGGGTCCGATTGAGGCGTGGGACCACGCGTACCCCCTATGCTACAGCGAAGGAGAGACACCCTCGGCTGGTCCACCTCTGCGATTGCAACTGGTTAGCTTTCGTACTATGGACAGGTAGCTCAACGGGGATACGCTCACCGAAGGGAGGTGACAGCTCGTGCAGGTGGAGGTAAATTGTACCTCGCGTTGGCCCTATCCTGCCGTAGGGGCTCGCGAGAGGTGTGGCTGGCGCACTCGGCTGGAGCGGCTTGCGGAAGCTCTATGTGTATCGCGAGTAGACCAATTCCTGTGTGACACGGCCGGGAGGGTTTCGCCCTGCGCGGGACCAATGCGCACGACAGCGCACCATGTGGCTGTGCCCTGTAGAGAGAGAGAGAGAGGAGGAATGCGAATGGCAGGAGGATTAGGGGGAAAAATAGGCAGAGGGATGGGAAAGGGTAAAACGGTGCCACATGGTGCAATGATTTTTTCCCCCTTTTCTTTAGCCTTTGGCCAGACTGTTTCATCGGACTTTCACCAGCTCGTGAGGGTTTTTTTTTTTTTTTTTGGGGGGGGGGGGGGGGGGGGGGGGGGGG